ATATATATATATGTATTTAACATTATTATTTATACTTAAATTATTATTATTATTTATAACAGAACATGGAAATATATTGTTAATTAGTAGTAAAAATAACAATAGTAGCAGTCAGTACAGTGGTAATATTAGTGAAAGTAGTACATGCCTCCATGAAATGAATGAGGAAGACATTTTTGAAACTCTTCATTCAGAAATCTATTTCCAGGCCCAGGGAAACGTGCTTCTAACTGGAGATCTAAATGGACGAACAGGAATTGAACATGTGTTTGGTCAGACTCCCTTATTCACCACACCAACCATCACACCGGAACAACCTGGACTCTGAAATAAATAAAAGTGGCCTTCGGCCTGTACATAGTTAACTGTAAATTCAGAGGGGACTCTTTAGGAAGATTCACATACTCCTCAGCTCTTGGATCTAGTGTATTACATCCTATTACAGTCGGGATGTTTTCCTGACATCTGGAGCAAAGGGCTCATTTCCCCGTTCATAAGAGTGGAGACAAGTCAGACCCTAGTAACTACTGGGGCATCTGTGTCAGCAGCTGTACATTATTCTGTAGTATTCTAAATAAAAGAATACTACATTTCCTTCACAAACACTCCATCTTGAGTAAAAATCGAATTGGCTTCCTCCCAAAACACCGGACCACCGACCATGTATATACCCTTCACACTTTAATTAACGAACATGTCCACCAAACACAGCATGGCAAAATATTCTCTTGTTTTATGGATTTGAAGAAAGCTTTGGACTCTAATTGGCATGAAGGCTCTATTACAGACTTCTACAGTGTGGGATAGGAGGCAACATGTATGATCTGGTTAAATTAATGGATTATAGGCGTGCTGTTAAAATTGGAGACAAACAAACTGAATTCTTCACCCAGAAAAGAGGTGTTGGTCATGTTGACTTTATTCAACGTATATATCAATGAAGTGTTGGATCAATGTGCTGTTCCTGGGCTCTCCCTCCTAGAGAGAGAGGTGAAGTGTCTGACCTGGTTCTACTGTCTCCTACTGAACCAGTACTCAAACCTCTATAACCTTGGCCTGATTCACTCAATCGAAGTAAAATTTGTTTGTGGAGACTTCAGACATGTTGTGCTATGATTGTGGAGTATTGAAACTTTTCAATTTGAGCTGTGTGCCATCTTCATTCACTATTAACCAGTAACATATACACAATATTTACACATCTCAACACATCTCACACGTGTTACCTGTATTATACCATCAACATTATTAAAATAGACCTTGTAGTTACAGATCTACACTCTCTTTAGCATGGGTATGCAATTTTCGAGCAGAGGCCTAAAAATAGGGCTAGAGCATGCCACAACCTGAGGGACAGTGAGTGACCTACACACACACACTTTATATATATAATAATCAATCTAGATGTTATTTTAATATTATTGTGTATTAATGTTATTGTGTATTAATGTTATTGTGTATTAATATTATTGTGTATTAATATTATTGTATGTTTAATTAATGTTTTTTTTGATGCTTTGGCAATACTGTTTCTAAACTTTCATGCCAATAAAGCAAATTGAATTGAATTGAATTGATAAAGACCTGCAGCTTTGTAACTAAGTCTGAAAAATAAAACTTGTAAAACTTTCCATTAAATGTGTCTGTTTGAGTTTAAAGAAGAAGATCCTTTATTATTGAAGACTTTATTAACTAAGTGATGTACGTCCTGTTTACATCATCATGACCAGAGTAGTGAAGAGTTACATGATGTTTATTTACGAGTTAATGTGTTAATGAGGATGAAGCCTTAAACTCAATCTGACCTCGTCGGTTCGTTGAGTCTCACATTCAGTCAGTTTGTGGTTCAAATCCTTTATTCTGATCTTCTTCATCTTCACCTCCTCCTGCACCTCCTCCCAGAGAAGACACACCTCCTGAACACACACACACACACACACACACACACACACACACACACACACACATCTTCAGATCAGCCACCAACCAAACTGTAAAATGTTGTGAATCTTTAAAAAGCAGAATATTAAACTAACGTAATTTAAGGTTTCTAAGGAAGACTAAAAGCTACTCAGCAGATCTGGATCAGGTTCAGCCTGAGATCCTGAAGGCTCTGGATCAGGTTCAGCCTGAGATCCTGAAGGCTCTGGATCAGGATACAAGCAGTTGAGATGGTCTTCCCCTAAAGGGAGTCTGGACTCAGTCTTACAGACAAAGACCCTGATCCTTCAGGTCTAAAGGTGCCTCAACATTTGATCAGGATCCTCCTTTAGAGGTCTTAGTTAGAGGTCCAGTAGACCAGACTCAGTTGTCGTCTATGTTAAAAATCTTGAAGGACTTCTTCGTCTGTGTTTGATCAAAAGCTCAGGAACACCTACTAAAGGGACCTGGAGGTGAGTCTACCTGTCCATAGAGGTAAGTCTACCTGTCCATGGAGGTGAGTCTACCTGTCCATGGAGGTGAGTATACCTGTCCACTGACGTGGTCCAGCTGCTCCATTCTGTCCTTTAGGGGGTTCAACCTGAGGTCCACGTCCTGCAGAGAGTACAGCAGCTCCAGACTGCCGGTCCTCACCTGAGTCTCACACACCTGAAACATTCAACAGGTGAGTCAGTAAGAACCAGAACCAGGATACAGGTGTATTATATCATAGTATAACAGTGTGTATACTACCTCAGGTGCATTATATCATAGTATAACAGTGTGTATACTAGCTCAGGTGCATTATATCGTAGTAAAACAGTGTGTATACTACCTCAGGTGCATTAAATCGTAGTATAACAGTGTGTATACTACCTCAGGTGTATTATATCATACTATATCAGTGTGTATACTACCTCAGGTTTATTATATCGTAGTAAAACAGTGTGTATACTACCTCAGGTGTATTATATCGGAGTATAACAGTGTGTATACTACCTCGGGTGTATTATATCGTAGTATAACAGTGTGTATACTACCTCAGGTGTACTACTTAGTAGTATATCTACCAGTGTATAATTTACCTGACTGAGGTGTGTGAGTTCTGTCTCCAGCTGTTTTAGAGCTTGTTTGTGTTTTAAACTTTTTTCCTCCATCAGTCGTTCAATGTCAGAGCTCTGATGATCGACCACTGAGAGAGAGACAGGCAGAGAGACAGACAGAGAGAGAGAAACAAGAGAGATAGACAGGCAGAGAGAGAGACAATAGAGAGAGCGACAGAGAGAGTGACTAGAAACATTCAATAAAATTAGGAACATTTACTTCAACTCTGTAATTTCAGCTTTTAAAAATTTAGTGACATCTCAAAATTAAAAATACTCCTAGGAGAAGGAGATAGGAAGTATAGGAGAAGGAGACAGGGCATTCTTGCTGCCCAATACGTATTAACATGCCACAACCTGAGGGACAGTGAGTGACCTACACACACACACACACACTTTGTATATATATATATATAATTAATAATCAATCTAGATATTATATTAATGTTATTGTGTATTAATATTGTATGTTAAAACTATTTTTTTTTATGCTTTGGCAATACTGTTTCTAAACTTTCATGCCAATAAAGCAAATTGAATTGTGAGTGACAGAGATACAGAGAGACAGACAGAGTGAGTGAGAGGCAGACAGACAGGTGAATATATATATATATATATATATATATATATATATATATATATATATATTATATATAATAACTATAATGTGAAGGTACGAACCCACAGTCAGGAAGATTCCAGACATCTTCATCATCTTCATCCTGCAGCTTCCTGCTGAGATACAACACGTGAGACAGTATGAGGACCTGTCTGTCTGCTCTACTGTCCGTCTGCTCCCCTGTCCGTCTGCTCTACTGTCCGTCTGTTCTCCTGTCCGTCTGCTCTACTGCCCGTCTGCTCTCCTGTCTGTCTGCTCTCCTGTCTGTCTGCTCTACTGTCTGTCTGCTCTCCTGTCTACCTGCTGGTGGTGCTGCAGTGTGTGTTGCTGTCCTCAGCAGACAGACAGGCTGTCCTCCTGTCTGTGTGTCGGGCCATCAGAGATCTGGACAGCTGGACCTACAGAGACACACAAAGACCAGGTTCACTCAGACCCGGATCACTCAGACCCGGTGAGATCCGGTTCTGAAGCAGCTTCCGGTGAATTTTACGTTAACCGGCGTTCAGTGCGTCTCTCTGTCGTCATGGCAACGAGCGCGTCGCGAGGGGGGAAAAAACTGAGACGTTCTGGGTCCGGAGAGAAAATCGTAAATCCGGAACACATCCGCTTCAAAACAGAGAATGACGTGTTTTAAAGGCGACATGTCGTCATTTAGGGGGACTTGTCTGGACCAGGGGGACATCGGCCCAATCCCAATGTTCCCCCTAAAGCCTCAAACCCTCAAGGATTTACTGACGTTACCTGGTGAGTGGGTGAGTGTGAGAGACTGTGAGGGCTTGAGATGGTGTAAATATGAATTGGACAGCACTTTATCACGTTACCATGAAAACAACAATAAATATGATGTATAATTGTGTGTATTTATTTTATATTTTGTACTTCCTGATTTGAACGTCTTCCAGGGTCTTTCCTCACAAGATGAGAGGTAACTTCATATAATCTATTTACTCGTTTTTGTCAAAACAGCTTCAATGACAAAATCAAATATTTGATGAATAAATATTCTCTGATTTCATGTTTATTTTTTGTTCCATATTTAACCCTTAATGTTTCTGAGTAAATGTAATACTCCAGGCTGAACACACGTGATCCGTCCTCTTTGTTTACCTTTTTGTTATGTCTCCATGCGTCCACTGGTTACCCCGTGTTTAACGTCACATTGCAATTAGGCTAAGTCAGCATCCTATGTGTCCGTGAGTCCGTAAGGGGGGACATGTCCAACGGCTTTTCTAAAATGTGATTTAAAGTTATTTTACATTGAATTATTCTTATATGTGCAAAGCGTGTATGATGCTTACCTCTATGAAATACACTAGAGCAGCTGCACATTGGCTCTGCTGCTGGAGCATGTTGAACATTGCAGTTGCACACAGCACCGGGTTGAGAGGAGACATGTTGTCTCGTGAAAGTCTTTAGTCTGACACTTGTGTAGGCCTGGTGTCAGGAGTTACAGCTGCTTCATCAACACACCTGACGATGTCCAACATGAGAGAACTGTTCTACATGTGAAGGCTTCACGAGCAGGAACACATCTGTTAGTATTGCTTTTCATAAAGACTGTCGTCTGCAATCCAGGAAATATGAATTAATGTCATCTTGGCCAGTTGTTATAAGGTCACTTTTGTTTTTGAAATAACATTTTTGTTAACAAAAATACCGTGATATACCGTGAAACCGCCAGAATCGTACAAAATACCGTCATACACATTTTTGCAGTGGTGGGCCGTCAGGGCCTGCAAGGCCTTCTCTGCTGGCATAAACAGAATCACAAAGTTATGGCTATTTAATATTTTTTCTTAAATACACTACATGTATTATAATTTATAAAAATATTTTCCCCATTATCTTATTTTCTCATTGCACAGCTACTGTCTTCCTCAGTTGCTCTGCTTCCAGTGCAGCTTGTTTTAAGTAGAGCTTTTATCCAATCAGATTTCACCTCTGTGTCTCTAGGTAAGAAGAGAGGCCCGAGGCCTGCAGACTCACAAGTGCATTCCTTTGTAGTTTAAGTGAATGGGGACGATAGTGTTGATTATCAGTGTTCAACCAATCAGATCTTTAGTTTGACATGTTGGGTGTATTCTTTGACATGCCAGAGCCTGCTAGCTGGCCTACAAGTACATGATTGGTCAGTGGGCTAGCCTGACATGTTGGGCGGTGACAATCCCAATATCTGCTGCCTCTGTGGAGCAGACATTTTCAGCCCTCAAACGCATTAAAACGTATTCAAGAAATACAACTGGGGAGACTCGACTGTCTTCACTGGTGTCCATGAATCGAGAAGGACTTCTTACTGGAACTAAAACGCACGGATGTACTGAACAACTGTGAGATTAAACTCTTCATTAACAAAGAAAGGAGGATGCACTTTGTCTTTAAATAGTGAACAGCAGCTCTGGTAAGTTAAATGCGTTTGTTTTTACATCTGCAGTAGCTTTAATATGCTTGTTTATATATTATTATTTGTACAACTTGTTTTTATGAAGATTTGTGTTTGGTTTTATATGTGATAGGAACCATTGTTACGTCCAATGTTGCTCTGGGGACTGTGATGGGAAAATATATTATTGTATCATGCTTAGTTTTAAAGAATGTACTTCTCGTAGTCAGGCGATGTTTTTTAATTAGTTTTGTATCCAGGTGTCTTGTTATCTCTTCCCATGAAGGATGAGAAGTGAAGAGACACTGTGTCTTTGTCTTAGGAGAAAGACACAGAGAGACCTTGACTCCAGAAACTGAATGATGCAGAAACAGACATCCTGTCTGAAATACTTGTACTCCCCTTTTGCCACATTATCTGAATTTGTAAGGCGTGAACCTTTTGTATGCATAAATGATATTGAATGTTGCACCTTTTAGAAGCCTTCTCACAGTACACTGAGATACGTGTCTTTGGGACTGCTCTCTCTTTATTGCAATAAAGACCAACAACTTTGATTATTTCGAGACTCTGTTTATTGATCCAGATTGAAAACTTCCACCCTTCTCCCGATTAATCATAGAAATCTTCCATCACAGGACATATTTAGCCGGTGCCAGTGTTTGCAACTTGGCGACTTTCTCGCTAAATCTGGTGACTTTCAAAACCCTCATGGCGACTTTTTTTGTCAAAAGCTACTAGCGACAAATCTAGCGACTTTTTCTGGTGTTATTGGAGAATGTTCTGGTGTTTTGACGTTAAAGCACGTACGTTCTGCACTGTCGTGAACGAGCATCGGGTGCTGCCGTGAGCCCCTCTGCTGCCACCCACAGAAGCCTCGCGCTGCAGTCCCAGCTGCAGTCAGAGCTGAGAGGAGACGCACTCTCGGCAGATAGTGTATCTATAGGTGTTGGCTTCATTTTTACACGAAACAAATAATAACCGTAGCTGTGTTTCAGCTGAAGGACAGCAGTGAAGCCCCAGGTATAAAATGCACGGCCCGCCACTGCATTTTTGGTCATACCACCCAGCACTAATCGACATAGCAAGGTTTGCTGACTAGCGTCATGAACGTTGTTTATCTTCCCAGACCGTATCAAACTTTAACCATGACTCAAACCAGTGAAAATAATGTACTTTTAACTGTAAATAAAGACAGATGAAAGCCAGAGAGATACTGCACATACACCACGTCCGCTTAGAGAAATCATCGATTTAATTTGTAATAGTGGCCTACAAATTATGCTTCATCTGGCGTTGCTCATCTCCATCTCAGCACTCCTCCTTCTCCTCCTCCTCCTCTCTCTCCAGGTTTCTCAGGGCTTTCGCTGTCATCCATTTTTAACGTGAAGTAAAGCGGGTCACACATGTAAGTAGGTCATTGCACAGCTGAACTTTGCTAATCCACATGCCTGTGTGTTACGCGTGTTGCCACCCTGCTAGTCGCTCCTTTGAGACTTTAGACATGTGCAGACATGTGCACGTTCCCTCAACAGGAAACCGGATCAATGTGCCCAGTGACCTGTTCTTTCTCCAACACCATCACGTCCTGCCTTTATTCAATCATCACTAGAAAAAAGACACTTTTACTTTTATCCCTCACTTAATTGAGGACTTTTTACAATAACTAATTTTTGTCATTGTATTACTTATCTGGCTGCATTACTCGAGTCCGGTCTATATTAAGACCTTTTTTTTCTTGGCCATCGCTCTTGCCTAGTCCTTGGTCCTTGGTCTCGACCAAGTTCATTGACCATTTTTTTCTGGCTGCTTTCATAGCAGACTGACGATGCTGCTCAGCATTCAGTTAGTATTTATGTAGGTTGCATTTACTTGCCATAGTGTGTATTTGCAATCCGAGACCGCCCACATGCTGTCTTTAAAGCCAGAGTGAAGGTACCATTGTCGTACCCTGTGAAACTAAAAAGACATGACGACCAGCCACGTCATGCTGGTTTGTTGGGAAGGGGCTGAATAACGCTTTAAATTTAAGCTAAATTTTGATGAGGGAAAACTGGCATTTTTTTTTTTGGTCATTTGAATCAATTCTCAAGGCAGTTTAATTATCAACTCAAGATATCCACTTACACCAGTTGTTTTCAATAATACTCCAATTTATAATAGTGTACAAAGTCTGATGTATAGCAGCAACAGAGTCAGTAGAACTCTGTATGAATCAATTGGAAGCATTCAGTTACGCCATGAAGCTAAAACATATTAAAAAAAGAAGGAAATGATAAACTGCAGGCAGCAGTGGAATATGAAGGCCTGTGATTGGTGCAGTCTCCATCTACACAGCACTGATGGGAATGTATGGTAATTTGCAGGATTTACATAGTAATGGCTCAACTCTCCCTCTCTAGACCCCAGGGGCAGTTTAATCAAGTTATCACTTGATTGACAGGTAGATGGAAGACGAGTAAACAGTTGAGTCCCTGGTGATCGAGGACATGGAGCTGGATTGCATCCAATGATAAGAGTCTTTGGAGTCTGACCATATTTGGAATAGAGCCCTACATTTTATATCCAGAGGAAGTAATGACGTGACAACTACAAACAGATGAGTTATGGATAATCTAATGCTGGCGTGTACTGTATCTCGTATACAAGAGTACATATTCTGTAAATAGCCTTGATTGTAAGAAGTTGAGTCGATGGGGTGTTAAGATTGTTTTGGTTTGTCTGTGCTTGGGCTTTCCTTTCGTCTCAGGAGGCATTACAGCTGACAAGATAATCTAGATACTATTTCCTTTTTTTGATACCCCATGATGATTTCAATCATATTTTGGCTATATTCCC